TGTCCTGCCATCAATACACACTGTCCTCTCTGACAGTCCTGGACACAAGCTGCCTTGCAGCCTATTCTACTACTAAAGTATTAATGTCCTGTTGCCACATACATAAGTAACTATTGTGGCCTAACTAGCCTACTCACACAAGGGGTAATGGGAGGGAAAATGATCTACCTTACATTCCTGGCTCACGACGCCTGTCCCTCGATGGTGTGAGGTTCCCACGCTTCCTGAGTCGATCTTCGACGATCCAGGAACGTTCCACAGGTCCTCAGGTGTCGTGGAGCCTTCGCGTCGTCGCCGTTCCAATCCCTGAGATTCAGCTACCCCAATCCTGGTTCATCGATAGGCGCTGAGCTAATCACTATTTTCCCACACTCGCCCCTTCCACAAGGCGTTGCTCCTTGCCCTAGGCACGGTGTCGTCCTTCCAAAACCCTCAGTGGATGTGACCCGGTCACAGCTAGGCTTGCCCGCCACACCTTTCCAGGCCCCCCAACGTCCAGCGTCGCCGCCCAGCGTCGTCGCCGAATATTTTCCAAGTTTGGCACTCTTTCGCTCAATAAACTTGGTTCCTTTTCGCTTCCCAGAAGCGCGGGGTCTCCAATACGTGAGATGGGCTGCGATAGCCTGCACTAATCCACCGTAGAAGGCTTGTAGAGCCTCAAATCCTTGAGAGCAGACCGAGGTGCGTCCTGTCGCTTCCAAGGTCGGGTCAACTCTGACGTTGGCGCCGCCCGGGGCACTCGGTGACGTCACGGCGGGCCCTGATTGGTCGCCCGCGACCTAAGTCGGCCAATCCGCGATCGGCTAGTGTCCCTTCCAAAAGGTCATATCTGCATTAGGGGATACTCTTTCATTTTATAACAGGGCGCCAATTTCCCTTTATTTACAACTTATAATGTAACTTCCTTCCTTTAACCGGCAGCCGGTCTGGTCGCCACATATGTCAATAGACTCCCTGAACCTCAGAGAATCAGTAGGGAGAGCTGATATGACTCTTAAAGCAGGAAAACGAAAGAGATAGGAGAGGGCACCGTAACAGACATCTTCTGATGTACCTTGCACTTTACTAGACATGTCTGTCGACTGAAGAGGCTGTAGGGATCCCATCCCTCGTCGGAATTTCCCAGTATTGGGCAGCCAGGGAGCATCCGATCCCTCAATCGTCGTCGCCCCTAAATCAACAACAACATCATCATTCTTTCCATAGACATTTCTCAGTTATCTGTTCTGACGGTGTTCCCCCCCCCCTTATATTTCTCCCACGCCTGCTGTAAGAGTCATATCCACTTTACCCGAGCGTTCTCTACGTCGTGGGCATCAGTTTGATATATGTGGGAGAGTGTAGTGTTCTCGCGTTGGCGAGAAATTCGTGAAAGAAAAGTATTTTGGCCTGATGATGATGAAGATTAAGCCACCCAAAAGGTGGCACGGGCATGAATAGCCCGTAAGTGGTGGCCATTTTAAGCCATTACCAGTATCAAGAGCTGATACTGGAGATCTGTGGAGGTGCGAATGCACCCTGCATGATGGGAGTGCAGTATCTGCACTCTCCCTTGTGAATGTGTTAAGATGAAGATGAAGCCACCCAATAGGTGGCACGGGCATGAATTGGTAAGTGGTGGCCCTTTTGAACCATCACCAGTATCAATAGATGATACTGGAGATCTGTGGAGGTGCGACTGCACCCAGCGTGACGGGAGATGTCTCCCGTGTTTTAAACAGATGAAGATGAAGATGAAGCCACCCAAAAGATGGCACGGGCATGAATAGCTCGTAAGTGGTGGCCCTTTCGAGCCATCACCAGTATCAAGAGCTGATACTGGAGATCTGTGGAGGTGCAAGTGCACTCAGCGTGACGGGAGATGTCTCCCATGAATGTGTCCAAGATGACGATTAAACCATCGAAAAGGTGGCACGGGCATGAATAGCCCGTAAGTGGTGGCCCTTTTGAGCCATTACCAGTATCAAGAGCTGATACTGGAGATCTGTGGAGGTGCAACTGCACCCTGCGTAACAATGATGATGATGAAGATTAAGCCACCCAAAAGGTGGCACGGGCATGAATAGCCCGTAAGTGGTGGCCATTTTAAGCCATTACCAGTATCAAGAGCTGATACTGGAGATCTGTGGAGGTGCGAATGCACCCTGCATGATGGGAGATGTCTCCCTTGTGAATGTGTTAAGATGAAGATGCAGTCACCCAATAGGTGGCACGGGCATGAATTGGTAAGTGGTGGCTCTTTTGAGCCATCACCAGTATCAATAGATGATACTGGAGATCTGTGGAGGTGCGACTGCACCCAGCGTGACGGGAGATATCTCCCGTGTTTTAAACAGATGATGAAGAAGATGAAGATGAAGCCACCCAAAAGATGGCACGGGCATGAATAGCTCGTAAGTGGTGGCCCTTTCGAGCCATCACCAGTATCAAGAGCTGATACTGGAGATCTGTGGAGGTGCAAGTGCACTCTGCGTGACGGGAGATGTCTCCCATGAATGTGTCCAAGATGACGATTAAACCATCGAAAAGGTGGCACGGGCATGAATAGCCCGTAAGTGGTGGCCCTTTTGAGCCATTACCAGTATCAATAGATGATACTGGAGATCTGTGGAGGTGCGACTGCACCCTGCGTGACGGGAGATGCCTCCTGTGCTGCGTAACGGGAGATGTCTCCCGGACCAAGTGGTGACCAAATGGTGATTTTGGCCTGTGGTATAGGCCCTTTAGGGCGCCAATATGGCGCTGGCCCTCCGTTTTGCCGCCAAAACTGTGTGACGTCAGTGGCACCAGATTGGTCACTGACAGTGACGTGGCACAGGGGGCCAATGAAAACCTCCCCTGGCAAACATGACGTCACGAAGGAAGGGGGGTCCGGTCATCGCGCCGAGGTGGCGCCACCAGTCTGACACGGCACGTCAAGGTGGACGGATGTGCGAAGGTTGGTCCTATCAGTTTGACAGTTGTATCCCGCTCCCGTGGATCTTACGAGTCACCCGTAGTCTGCAAGTACGCCGAGAGGTCTTCCTTCATTCCATGTGTGGACCGAAGAGAGAATTGACGGAATATTGAGCATCAAGTGCTCCAGGGTCGGGTACTGTGCAGGTGAAGTCTGAACAGTGACGTCTGGGACGTCTGATAGTTTCACAGTGACGACGTAGCGGCCGGGCCGATCCACCGGGAAGCAGTGAAAGAAGAAACTAATTATGAATCAGGACGACTGCAGCCGAGAGGTTGGCAGCTGTAGTTGGGAGGAGAAGTCAACGGCCGGGAGACGAACTCCAACCCTACAAGACGTTGTGGAGGAGCATGGACCTGCAGAGGACAGAACACGGAGACGATGCGTTTATTTTGGGACGTTGATTGGGTTCCTGGAGGACGCATCAGTGTGTGTGTGGGGGCATTCCCTACAACGAGGCGGGAGCCTGGACCAGGAGCTACAATTCAACTCTCACCGGAGAATAGGTGGAAGTAGGTGATTCTTGTTTCCCTCCCAATTCCCCTTTAGTCAGCTATATATTTAGCCAGAGTATCTTTCATGTCGTGAGCAAGGCTCACTTAGGTCGATGTCACAGTAAGGCACAGTTGTGCAGAGTGAGGCTGTACAGAGCTCTCACGGTATTTATGTATGTGGAGTGTGCAGGCACCTGGAACTATTGAAGAATTGATTGTGTCATTAATGATTTCTTTCATGTGACATTAATATGATAACTTATGCCAGAGAATATATATATAAGTGAACCAGTTATTGGTGTTAGGCTGTGTGCCCAGTATTTATCTTATGATTATTGATATTGATGAACTTATCTATATATATGTATATGTTGATGTGTTGGATAACATTTCCATATGTGCAGTGATTAATTGTGTTATCGCCTGCGAAAGGAAGTACTGAATCTAAGGTCAGTACCGTGACGGATAGCATTTATTATCATTGAGCACAGTGCAATGCCATTATAGTGAAGTATTATGTTAAGTGCTGTAGAAATGTGTTATTGAACTTGAGACCAGTGTGGTGATTCATTGCGTTCTATTGTCATTATAGCAAATATTGTGTTGTTTGCAAATATAGTGATTCTTGAGAATTTAAAGAAACAGGCGTCAAAGAAACAAGTGCAGAAAGAGATTACGCGGTGAGGGGGAGTCGCCCAGCTGATTATGACATTGACATGAGGGGGGAGTATTGTCATATAGGCGTGTCACCGATTATATGTGAAGAGAGAGCGATTTCTGCATGTACTTGCTGCTTGCCTGTTGATTTATGAATATGATATCTTGAGTTTTAATTAAAATACAAAATACCTTCTCGTTTGTGTTATCCCTCCATATTCTTGCTGCTATTTAAAAGTGGAAAAGAGTGAGTACATATCTACCTGATATCAGATTCATTTAGTGTGCTCTTGCCACTGTTACCATTCCACAATACCACTGACGTGTTACTGGACACGGGAAACACCAGTTGGCGACCTTGCAGTTAGTAGTAGAGCCCTTGTTGGGGCGGGCACACGGTTGGGAGAGAGCAACTATGTTCCCACTCTTTCTTTGGCTTTAAGGCTGGCTGGGGATCGACTGGGATACTCTCCTGGCGAACAGTGGCGCCGCGAGGATTGAGTGAAGACCCGCAGGGCTACGGTGAGTAACAGTTAACGCTAACACTACTGGGTGGTGTCCATGTAGAGAGAGTCACCCCGACGTTGGCGACTGTGGACAGGATAAAGTACTAGGATATCTTGTGTATTGTTACTCGCCCCTCAAGTGGTTGACGTATACCCCAACACTGTGCATATCCCAATTACATTGGGATATGCACAGATAACTGATTTGCCATATTTGTTCTTATGTTCTTGAATCAGAAGTCGTCTGTTCCTGTACCCACCTATGTAAAAAAATAATAAAAATAAAAGATATGTATTAGTTTTAGTGGATATAAATAGAAATTGCCTTGTATGGCCAAAAGGCTTTCTGTAGTTCCATTTATTCTAATAGTGTTATGTTGTGTACAGGAGCTTCAGAATGTCTGGTGAAGATGAGGGCTGGCGGTACATACTACACTCACTGTGGGCTTGGGGCGTGCCGGGGCTCATCACCAGCCTCGCCCTCACCCTCAACTACTACCGCGCCTCCCTCCCCTGCAGCGTTATCACCCCCAGGATTGGTCTCCCCAACTGCTTCTTCTCCGGTCAGTCTCCCATGTTGTACCTACCCCTGCAGGAGCAGTGCTGTAAACATTGCCTTGTTAGAGTCACATATTTTGGAAATTAGATAATCCAAACAACAAGTTAAGTGAAATATGACTGTATTTACAAATCTCATTGAATTGTCTACAGACCAGAAGGCCAAACTGGTGTACCTGTACATGCCGATGTTGCTGACGCTGTGTGCCAACACCTCCCTGCTGGTGGCCTCCCGCTGCGTCCGCTCAGCAAACCTGCGCCGACTGGAAAAGGGTTAGTTAAGTTAATATATTATGCACCCCGACTATATCCACACTGAGTGGTAGTGAAAACGTTAGAGGCACTTAGTGGGCTCATGAACTAAGCCCCCCATTATTCCCTACATCTTGTTTGATAGCCGATTTCGCCGGGATTTTGAAGATGTGCTGACGGCGTGTGATATCACAACGACCGGGAGCTTGACCCAATGAGTCGGTCACTAGCCGTCAAGAGGGCGGCATTCTTCGACTTTCGAATCTCGAGAGAAGAGGCAGGGACCGGAGATACAAGAAGTTGTCACTGTGGCAAGGAGTCCACGTCGAAAAAAAACTTGAAAGGTAACGAAGATAACCAGGAGCCTGAGAGAAGAATCTCGGCCATCGTCAAGAGTGAGAGACACCATCGACCGGTAGACAGGAGCTGGAGCTATGCACTGTGACGGTACGAATGCAAGTACTAGAGGTAAGGGGCTGTAGTGGTTTTTGAAAGAATTTTAATGAACAGTGAGGGACTAAGGCGATTCCCAAAGACCGGCAGCTGGGTGAATGGCCGAGGTGAATTAGTGAAACAAGGGGGTGAGATTGATGCCACAAGGTGATTATGAGGAACCTGCCCACATCGAAGTACTTTAAAGTTATTACAAGAAGAGTGCCGAGAGTTAGAGCCCCAGGTGTACAGTGAGAGTAGCCACATTCCTGTGTGAGGGATATACAGGAGTTACAACAGTGGACAAAGAGGTAGAGCCCCGGGTGGACAGTAAGGGTCGCTGTATCCCAGAGTGAGTGACTGTATAATGAGTTTTCAAAAAACATTCAACATAACAGGCCAATTACACGTAATTAATCTTTTTATGTAGATAGGAGCTGCCTCGTATGGGCTAATAGCCTTCCGCAGTTACCTCTATTCTTATGTTCTTATGTTTAACCCCCCATTTATCCCTTATGTATCCCTCCATGTTTTCACCTTTAATGTCTTATCACCTGACCCAATGCGGGTATAAAATCAACCAGTCCTGAAAATTCTTTTTACTTGAGAATGAACCATGGAGGTTCGAAACGTTGTGCAAATTGTATAAATAAGTGTAATACATTCTATATTAATTCACTTCGTTTCTTCCCCTTGAAATTACGAAAATGAGTTTTGGAGAACTCCTATTTCAGCTAAGCCCTTATGCTAAGAAAATAGTGGGATAGAAGCCCTAAATCAGAAGATAGTAAATACAGAATATGCGGTCATATTCTGTATTTATATCTGCGGTCATAAAAAGCAAATAATATTATAATAGGAGTTATATATAGGCCACCAAATTTAGACAGAATGGAAGCAAAGCATCTATGGGATGAAATATCTAGGGCATCTAGATCTAACAGTATTTACGTCATGGGTGACTTTAATTTTAGTGGAATAAACTGGTTGAACAAAACAGGGAATAGTGAAGTAGAAGATTTTCTAAAATTAATTGACGATTGCTTTCTTACGCAACACATTAAGGAACCAACACGGGAAAATAATATTTAGATTTAGTGTTAACTAACAGGGAAACACATATTAATGACATCGAAATAGGGAGTGAGCTAGGGAACAGTGATCACAAAGAAATCAGATTTAGCATAGAATGGAATAGACCTGTAGGAGAAAATTGTGTTAAAGTGCCAGATTTTCGAAAAGCTGATTTTAATAGCCATAGAAATTTTTTGGGTCAAATTGATTGGAAAGTTTTGGGTATGGGGTGGGGGCCGGTCTTGGAGCGAGACATGAACCCAGCGATAGGTGACGTAAATGGGGATTTCGATGTGGATTCAATATATAACTTATTTAAGAATATTCTAAACAAAGCACAGGAACGTTGTATACCATACAAATTGAATAGATCAAATACCAATGACCCAAAGTGGATAACAAAGAATTTGAAGAACCTTATAGGTAAAAAGAGAGCTTGGTACAAAAGGATTGAAAATGGGGAGGTCACTTCAGAACAGGAATTCGTACAACTGGTTAGAAATGTTAAAAAAGAGATATGGAAAGCAAAAAGAAACTATGAAGTTCGCATAGCAGGGCAAGCAAAGACAAATCCTAAAGGGTTTTTTCAGTTATATCGTACTAAGACTAGGGAAAGGATAGGTCCATTAAAAACTGAGACAGGTCAAATAACAGATAGTGATGAAGAGATAAGTAGTATTTTTAATAAATATTTTGTATCTGTATTTACTAAAGAGGAACATAACAATACGCCTTCAGCCGAACAAGTCTATGTGGGTGGGAACGAGGACAGGTTGACGAGTTTAGCAGTTACCAGGGAGGATGTTCTTAAACAAATAGTAAAACTCAAACCAAACAAATCCCCAGGGCCGGATGAAGTGTTTGCCAGGGTGCTTAAAGAATGCAAAGAGGAGCTTTGTGACCCACTGTCAGCCATATTTAATAAATCAATACAGTCAGGCAGAGTGCCAGAGTTTTGGAAAGTTGCTAATGTGATACCAGTTTTTAAGAAAGGAGATAGATCACTTGCGTCTAACTATCGACCAACTAGCCTAACGTCTATTGGGGGAAAGTTACTCGAATCTATAATAGCAAATAAAATTCGTCTTCATCTTGAAAAACATAAATTAATAATTGAGTCACAACATGGTTTTATAAATGGCCGTTCATGTTTAACAAATTTGTTATCTTTTTATTCTAGCATTGTTGAGGCAGTTGATAGTGGTAAGGATTGCGATGTTGTGTACCTTGACTTTAGCAAAGCTTTTGATAGAGTGCCACATGAAAGACTGATTAAAAAGTTAGTCTCATGGTATTGGGGGGTGCTATATTAAGCTGGATTAGGGCATGGCTATACCAAAGGAAACAGAGAGTTAGTATAAATGGAGTCAAGTCAGAGCGGGAAAATGTTGTAAGTGGGGTGCCTCAGGGCTCTGTCCTGGGACCTCTGTTGTTTATAATAAATATAAATGATTTAGATTCAGGTTTGAGTAGCAACATTTGCAAATTTGCCGATGATATGAAAATCGGTAGGGAAATTAATTCGAAGGAGGACTCACTATCACTTCAAGTTGATCTAGATAGGGTTTTGAAATGGTCGAAGGATTGGCAGATGCAGTTTAATGCTGATAAATGTAAACTTCTGAGGTTAGGTAATAACGATAGGGTTACAAGATACGAGCTAGATGGTGTTGAGATTGCGAAGTCGAATTGCGAAAGGGATCTGGGAGTTATGATTAGCAAGAATTTAAAACAAAAGGATCAATGCATGAATGTTCGTAATAAGGCAAATCGGACACTTAGATTTATTAATCACAGCGTTAGTAACAAGACACCTGGTGTGGTTCTCAATCTATATCTTGCTCTAGTTAGGCCCCATTTAGATTATGCAGTTCAGTTTTGGTCGCCATATTATAGAATGGATATAAATTCACTTGAACGTGTCCAGCGTAGGATGACTAAGTTAATTCCCCAAATTAGAAATCTTTCATATGAAGAAAGATTAACAAAGCTAAAGTTGCATTCACTGGAAAGGCAAAGAGTTAGGGGTGACATGATAGAGGTTTACAAGTGGGTGAATGGACATAACAAAGGGGATATTAATAGGGTATTAAAATTATCAACACAAGACAGAACACGAAACAATGGGTATAAATTGGATAAGTTTAGATTTAGGAAAGACTTGGGTAAATACTGGTTCAGTAACAGGGTTGTTGATTTGAGGAACCAATTGCCGCGTAGGGACCCCACCATTGTGGAGGTGGGGTCCCTCGATTGTTTCAAGCATGAGTTGGACATGTATATGAGTGGGATTGGGTGGTTATAAATAGGAGCTGCCTCGTATGGGCCAATAGGCCTTCTGCAGTTGCCTTTGTTCTTATTCAATGAGACATGTTTAAAAGAAAACCTGTTGCCAGTATACACCAATATATATATTAGTATATTTTGGTAGCAGTCTTTCCTGTAGACATATATTATTAAATATGACCGAAAAAGTAAGATTAATAATTCTAACACGAATTTTCTCAATCTTTCGTACATTTCTTTTCACTGTTGGAGGTAATTCAAAAATCAATTCTCCAAAATTCATTTTTATTTCTAGTCTGACGCGACACTTGAGCGCGTTTCATAAAACTTATTACATTTTCAAAGACTTTAGTTAACACATACACAACTGAATAGAACTTACACATCTCCGATTTTGTTTATATCTACATTTGAGTGAGGTGGATGGTTTGAGCTGGTATTTAATAAGGTATTAATTTCATCAACACAAGCCAGAACATGAAACAATGGGTATTGAATAGAAGTGATTGTAGAAAGCCTATTGGTCAATATTTCTTGATGCTTCTATATTGGAGCGGAGTCTTGAGGTGGGTAGAATATAGTTGTGTATTAATTGGCTGTTGATTGCTGGTGTTGACTTCTTGATGTGTAATGCCTCGCAAACGTCAAGCCGCCTGCTATCGCTGTATCTATCGATGAATTCTCTGTTGTTTACTAGGATTTCTCTGGCGATGGTTTGGTTGTGGGGAGAGATTATATGTTCCTTAATGGAGCCCTGTTGCTTATGCATCGTTAAACGCCTAAAAAGAGATGTTGTTGTCTTGCCTATATACTGGGTTTTTGGAGCTTACAGTCCCCAAGAGGGCATTTGAAGGCATAGACGACGTTAGTCTCTTTTAAAGCGTTCTGTTTTGTGTCTGGAGAGTTTCTCATGAGTAGGCTGGCCGTTTTTATGGTTTTATAGTAAATCGTCAGTTGTATCCTCTGATTTTTGTCTGTAGGGATAACGTTTCTATTAACAATATCTTTCAGGACCCTTTTCTCCGTTTTATGACCTGTGGAAAAGAAGTTCCTGTAAAATAGTCTAATAGGGGTATAGGTGTTGTGTTTAGTTGTCTCTTCAGAGGTTGCATGGCGTTTCACTTTCCTTTTTATGATGTCTTCGACGAAACCATTGGAGAAGCCGTTGTTGACTAGGACCTGTCTTACCCTACAGAGTTCTTCGTCGACTTGCTTCCATTCTGAGCTGT